AATTGTAAAGTATAATTTGAGAAGTAAAGGGGAAAACAGGGTTGTAATACTCAAAACAACCGGCCGGGTCGTTACAACTTATCATTTAATTTGTAGTCCAATTAGATGGACTAGCCTAACATATTTATATTTCATTTAATTAATTAACCCAATTTACTAGCCACAATATTTGTTTGGACTAGTATCTTGAGTTTAATATGGTCCAAATTATTTTATGGATTCAAACCCGATAAAATTTAAATGCTTATAAATGTCCCCTACTTCGAGGCTAGTCGGGGTATAAGCTTGTTAATCCTCAAAGATTAGCCTTGAAGTAAGACGAAACACTTTTAATTGTCTTCTTGCAATTGCTTTCAGAGAGTTTGATTGATTATATAATTAAAGGATTAGTAGTCTTGTTTTAAGATTTAAAGCCCATTTAAGGTCAATACATATTTGGCCACACGTGAACGTATCCGATGATTTTAGCTATTTTTTTAACTTAATTTCTAGAAGGCTAAGAAACAGAAGTTGAATTCATCTTATTAACACATCCAACTCCATGTAACTATCTTCCAAATTGATGCCTAATTCCATGGAATTTGAATTTGAATGGACTCGCACAGATAGATTCTAGAGTCTTTGAGTTTCAATCAGATTGTAATTTTCTCAACAGTGTCCAATCTGATAAACTCAAATTCTTATTTTAAGGAGATCAACTCATTGGGTCTATATTGAATCCACGCCTATAAATACAAACACTAAGTAACATCTATTTTCGGCGTCATGCTTTATAACCAAAGGCAGTCTCGACACGACTCTTCTCAGGTAATGCTCGTCTTTTTTTCTTCTTCCTTTTGTTGTTGTTGTTGAGATTCCTATTCCATGCAGCTACTCCCTTTTTTCTTCTATTTTATCCACACAAACAATCTGTAATATTTTCAATCATTTATGTGGTTTGCTATAAAATTCTTAAAGAACCATACTAGTAAGAATAAAAGATGAGCATCATTTATCTCCTTTGTTCTGTTGCTAGTAATTTATTTGCAAAAGCCCCTTTAATGGTCTGAACCAATTTATTTGTATGGAATATTACACTTACTTGGTTATCTTGGCTTAGTCAGGGGTCCATAAGTATTTTATTTTAAATAGTCAAGCAATTTTGTCTCCAACTAGTGAAACTAGTCATGTAATCCAAAAGGTTTTGCTGCAACTTGGAAGATATGGAGCTTTATTTGCCTTTGGAGTTGCCTTAGTCAATATGAATTCGGTTTCACGATCCAACTCCGTCCTTCGCTAACTTCTCTTCTTCGTTTAATCTTTATGCTTTTCATTTTCTTATTCGTATTAGACTAGCAATGAGGAGTTGGGCCATTTTGGTTATCATCTACTTTGTAACTACAACTGGCAACTTCTTTTATTTCCACTATCTTGGACATTCTTCTTTTTTTCATGCTCGTGGAGTTCAAGAGAGTAGAAAATTTGAAGCGATTAAAGTTTATCCGCCTGAAATTTGCTCATGTTTGTAAAGTATTACCTTATACAAGATGGTATTACTTTGAACATGGCGAGGACTTTATACCATCTCAAGTAGAAGACTTTATTTTTTTGAGCCGAAGATGATTACACCATTTAAGCCAAAGTTTTACTTTATCTGAGGCCAAGACCATTACACCGTCTAAGCCAAAGATTTTTTTTTGAATATTTGACTTTACTTTATCTGAGGCGAAGACCATTATACCGTCTAAGCCAGAGAGTTTACTTTGTCTGAGGTGAAGATCATTACACTGTCTGAGCCAAAAATCCTTTTTGTTTTTGAAGATTTGACTTTACTTTATCTGAGACGAAGACTATTACAGCGTTTGAGCCAAAAAATTTACTTTGTCTAAGGTGATCTGAGCCAAAATTTACTTTGTCTAAGGTGAAGACCATTACACCGTCTGAGCCAAAGATATTACTTTATTTACATATTTGACTTTACTTTATTTGAGGCGAAGACCATTACACCGTCTAAGCCAAGGACTTTACTTTATCTGAGGTGAAGATCATAACACCGTCTGAGTCAAATAAATTTATTTTATCTGAAGCAAAGGACATTACACTGTCTAAGCTAAAGACTTTATCTTGTTTGAAGATTTAACTTCATTTTATCTAAGGCATAGACCATTATACCGTCTAAGCCAAAGATTTTACTTTATCTCAGGTGAAGATCATTACACCGTCTGAGCCAAACATTTACTTTGTCTGAGGTGAAGACTATTACACCGTCTGAGCTAAAGACTTTACTTTATACGAGGCAAAGTCTATTACACCGGCTAAGGTGAAGACTATATTTTGCAAAGACGAAGACAACCGTCTAAGCTGAAGACTTTACTTTGTCTGATGCTAAGACTATCATACCGTCTAAACTGAAGACTATATTTTATCCAAGACGAAAACCAGTGAAGATCATTATAGAGTCTAACATGCAGATTTTACTTTACCGCCAAAAGATTTGACCTTTTGGTGCAAAGGAACGAAAACTCGTCTTCATTTCGAGATGCATGAATCAGAGATTGTATGAAGCATGAAAAAAACTGACCACCAAGAATATCTCTTCATTTTCAATCTTCACATGTAATGGAGAGCATGTATTACGTTTCCTTTCTTTTTTGTCCGGACTCGTTTTATCACTAAAATGAAGAGCATGAATTGACCAATGTTTACAATGGAGAGCATTGTAAACATTGAAATCACATTTACATGTTTACAATGGAGAGCATGAATTGACCAAATTCGGGTTCAGTCGAAAGAAATAAAGGAAAAGTTGAGGAGGGAATAAAGATGTGTTAAAAGGAGAGTAAAAAGAGTGACATGAGGAATTTTATGCACAAATTTAAGTAATTGAAGGTAAATATGATGGTGCATTGAAGGTTTACAAGGATTTAGTGAAGGAGGAGCCGAAGGAATTTAGACCTTATTTGTGTCAAGGAATAATACATACATTGTTGAGGTAAAAAGATGAGGCTGAGAACTGTTTCGAGGAGTACCGGAGATTGGTACCACAAGGGCATCCTTGTGCTATGTATTTTGACGACAATTTGATTGGAACAAAGCTTTTTGCGCAGAAAGTGGAGAATGAGAGATATGGATCAAAGAGTGAACTAGATTGAGGCTTCGTATTTTGATTGGAGCTGAGATTGGATGATTGAGGTATGGTTAGAATTTAGTTACATTGTACGTTTTAGTTTATTTTTGCTGTTTGCGTGTTCGATATTTAGATTTACTTTTCTCTATGGTTTAGGGATGTAAGTAGTTTTAATCAGTGTTTTAAAAGGCGTGGGCGTAAGATGATGCATTTTACATATGCCTCAGCGAGGCGTAAGCCCCGAGGCACGAGGCGTATGCCCCATAAGTATTTAATTTTTAATATTTTATAAAATAATATAATGACAATAAATATTTATAAACAGGTAAAATTACATAAATATTGAAGAAAACTATAAATATGTGAAATATATATGCTCCATCCCCACAAAAAACTAGTCAAACAATCTATTATACGCTACTTACAAGCAATGTTTTAAAAGGCGGGGGCGTGAGGCGGGGCGTTTTACTTGATATGGGGTGATGCGTAAGCCTAGAGGCGGGGGGAGGGGGAGAGCGTAAGCCCCATGGATCTTTAAAAAATTTAATTTATAAATTAATAAAATAACATAATAACACAAAAAATATAAAATATAAATTAAAAGTCAAAAATTAAAAGAAAATTAAAGGAACTCATAGAAGAATAATATCCAACATGATTCTTAAGTATAACTAATGCATACAAATCATGTATAACGTCTTTAACTTTCAAATAATTAAAAACTTACAATTTCTTTAAAATAAATGATCAAACTCCACATTTTATCTTTCTAAAAGTAAATAATTAATAAAATCTTATTAGTACGATAATTAAAATATTACTCCTTCATGAATAAATATAAATTAGTTTAAGATATCAAATTAAGAAAAGTGTATAACAAGGACGGACAAATGAACTAAGACACGACCAATTACAAGTGAAGATATAAATTCGCAATATCATGTCTCATTATTAGAGTTATGCTCAATCTTCATATTTCTATCGATGAATAGAACTTTTATCATTAATTTGTTAAAGAATTTTGAAGGTCAACGATATTAATTAGGAAATTCAACACGTGATTTGTGTTAGAACTGTTAGGCGAGCTTGGGGCGTAAGCCTTACAGAACTAAGCCCCATACATGAGACTCAGGGCGTTTTGTAAGTGCCCAGCCCAGGGGCGATCCCCGGGCGAGTCTCAGAAATGCCTTTTAAAACACTGGTTTTAATGAGTTGGAGCAAATAAGGTTCAAATTGAGACACTGAAGAAGATTTTTCTAGTTGAGGGTAGTAGTGCTCTGGCTTTTAAATTTGTAGAGGTATATTCAGTGACATGTTGTAGTAATCAATTTTAAGCAAAATTGGAAAAGAGAATGATACCTGTGACTTTCTACTTTCTTTTTACTTTTTTCCTAATGAAATGCGTACCTGTAGTATGTGCTTTTGTCTTATGTGTTGCGAGTTGAGACTTTGAGGCTGAGGAGACTGATGTTAAATGGGAAGTTTTGCTGCTATATAGGGATATAAAGAGCACTGCAGGAATGCTCTGCTTCATTGAAAAAATTCTAATCATTTTGTTCCACACTACACCTTTTAAAGCACACATTGAATTAAAAGATCAATTTTGTATCTTCTTAAAAACAAAAGGGCTTACTGCTATGACTAATTTTATTTGAATTAAAAGATCAATAAGCAATTGCATATAATTTTGGATGGTAGAGCTTGTTAGAACACAAGTGTCAGTCCCCCTTGATAACACTGAACTTATTGAACATCACAATAATATATTGCATATGCATCGGTAAGCTGATATATACAGCTTCCAACAAGATGACAGCCCCTCATAATTGAATAGATGACCATCGCAAAGTTGAAATTCCAGAATATATTGGATAAATAGGGTTTGGTATATCATTAATAAATACATAATTTACACAAGGGCGGAAACACATAAAGAACTCCCAAAATAAAAAAAGGGAGAAAAAAACCCTCACTGCTGTATCAGATATCATTCCTGAGAAGGATAATAAGGAGTGGCAATTAAGTGAAGTTCACTCTTCCTTGCTGCAGTTATTGCAGTAAATTCCGTCATGTCCAAATCCTCAGGTTTGACACCATCAGGGAGTTTCCAGTCAAAATGATAGAGCAATTTAGCTATTGGAAGGTGAACATTTATTAAACCAAATGAAATTCCAGGACACATTCTCCTTCCGACACCAAAAGAAAGATACTCAAAGTTATTCCCCATGAAATCCACAGAGCTCTGCTCAAATCTCTCCGGCTTAAATTCTTCTGCGTCTTCCCAATACTTTGGATCCTTTCCTATTGCCCAAACATTAACCATGACTCTTGTTTTTAATGGGATAGTGTATCCATTGATGTTTGTTTCTTCCCTACACTCTCTTGGAACCAAGAGAGGGAGTGGAGGATGAAGTCTCAAGGTTTCTTTAACAACCTGTTTTAGGTATTTCAACTCCTCAATCTCGTCCTCATCGAATGTTTCTTTTCCTTTGAATGCTTCTCTTATCTCAGCTTGTGCCTTTGCAAACACCCTTGGGTTCCTCATCATTTCTGTCATCGCCCATATTGTTGATGATGTTGAAGTTTCTGTTCCCCCAGTAAGCATGTCCTACATATATCGATACTTAATAAAGTATGAGTTATACATCATCCTTTTCATTTTAAGTGATGGGGTTTGATTGGCTACCAAGTGTAATAAAGAAAGATTTTTAGCACATCACAAAAAGTATCCTCAACACTTGTGGTTTAAATATGTCATGTTATTTCTATAGCTATATATAAAAGCATGTGATTAAGGGTAAAATATAAAGTTTCAAGTTGAAGAGTTTATAAATATAGAAATTTGTGATTCTTTTTGGAACGGATTGAAAATGAAAGAACAGTCATACATGAAAAGGAGTATCAACTAAGCAGTTTATTCCGATAGTACATGCTTTCACAAATTTAATGAACTATTAAGTGCTAAACCATTCAATAATCGATGTCTTGTACCATATTTTTATTCTTTTTTTCTTGACGAACTATTAAGTACTAAACCTTCAATTCTTATACTATCATATTTGATTCACCTTGATATTTTTATCAAAGGTGTGACCTAGTGGTTAATGAAATGGGTTGAGAATCGTGAGGTCTTAGATTTAAATCCCCGTAGAGGAAAAGCACTAGGTGATTTCTTCTCATTTGTCCAAATTTTAATGGACAGAATTATTCAGTACCTATGCTGGTGGGAGGGAGCCGGTATCCTATGAAATTAATCGAGGTGGGGGCAAGCTGACTCGTACACCACGATTATCATATATAATATTTATATTGTTACTCCATATTTGAGGCTAACATAGTTCTAAACTAGTCTTAAGTATTCCATACAAAAGGACCAAAATATAAATTTAAGTTAATTGAAGGTAAAGGGTGATTTGAACTTATAGGATACTTCAATGTTACTATTGATTTATTGACCCCGGTTGCCCTATGGGCAGAACTTCAAGTTTAATAAATGTTACTCCTTGCTTGTCGTATGGATAACACTTTTGACTTTTGACCTTAAAGGTTTGTCCATGAGCAAGCGGGGGTACAAAAATCAAGACCATCAATTTTCAAAGTCATTGCGTGTAATTCTTGAAGGTTAAAAGGGTTAAGTCAGGTTAAATGAAGTAGATGGAGAGGTATGAGGCTTCGGGTTCAAATCAATGGAGACAAAAACATTAAGTTATTTTTTCTCATCTGTCTAAGTCTTGGTGGACCGAGTTACCTGGTAGCTATGCTGGTGGGAGATAATAGATACATGGTAAAATTAGTCGAGATGCGTACAAACTGGTCCGGATACTACCGTCATAGAAAAATATTAGAGATTTTTACTTATCTATACTACTTTTAAAACTTATTTACCCTCACTATTGAAGTTTTAACTTAATTACAAGTTGATATACGATTTACCAATTATATACAAAATAATGTATTAGACTCCAATCTTCCCCTGCACCCAAGGGTGTGGCCTAGTGGTCAATGAAGTGGGTGAGAACCATGAGGTCTCAGGTTCAAATCCCAGCGGAGGTTTCTTCTCATCTATCAAAGCCTTGGTGGATAGAGTTACCTGATACTTGTTGCTGATGGGAGGTGGCAGATATCCCGTGGAATTAGTCGAGGTGCGCGCAAGCTGGTCCGGACTCCACGATTATCAAAAAAGAAAAAAAAAGACTCCAATCTTCCCCCTTTTCTCCCTCTTCTTCTTCCATTCCCCCCCCAAACTCAACCCGACATGCGTAGATATTTAGGATATAATGTTTCGATGTTTCTTATATAATGTTACTTTTTTTCTTCTTTCTTAAGTTGTTTCTTATTTAATGAAATTGGAGAAATATTCTTAATACTTAAAATTCTAGATACAGATGTTTCCGTACTTGGCATTTTTGTACCATTTTTATATGAACTTTCTTGCGGATGGAAGCTTAAGTTTGATAACTTTGTGTATCATCACTGGAACTTTAAATAACTGCTGATCTGGGTTAGTTTGTAATGTCCAATTATATACTGCTAGTCATATATTTTGTTTATTATATTATTGTATTTGCTATTCGTTGTCAGATACTACGACGAATCTCCATTGACATGTGGTAGTGGAAAGAAACTCCATTGAAAGCCATTAAAAGTTTCCAGACTTTGAATTCAAAAATAGAGTTTGGTAAAATTATTATTTGCATGGATGGGCTGTTGTTGCAAATGATTGGGAATATCCTTTGGAGTTTAGTTAAAAATTGGAGGTGGTTTTGGTTGGAATTTCAGATTGAATCTAGACGAAGAAACACAAACAAATTGTATATATTTTATATGTCGGGTGTAGAAACACATACAAAATATATACAATTAACATAATTGTATATAAATGATATAAAAATTGTAGTTTTGACCGGATTATGTACAAAAAAATTGTTTTCAAATTGTAGATAGATTGTAAATTTTGACCGAATTTGTATATATTTTGTAAAAAAAACTTTAGGTATGTTATGTAAATAGGAAAATTTAGACAAAATCGGATAAATATATTTAAAATCTCGTATATATACGAAAAAGTCTCTAAATATTACGAGGACCAAAACCAAAATTCATGAACAACTGGGAGACCAAATTTAAACAACCCATGATTTTCTCGATAAGAATAGTTTTAGATTTTTTAGGTGAGCAAGAACACTTACAATCATAACTGCTTTAAACACTCTCCACCTCTAACTCTAAGGTTGCGGGTTTGGAGCTCCCGGGGAGAGGGTAGAAAAAAAATACAAAAAGCTGATAGTTCAAAGACATTGGTAGGAGCTGTAGGAGCTCTGCCCTGAATTCAATGAACGACAATTACAGAGTTAAAAATTCAGGATATATTGGATATTAGGGTGTGGTGTATCATTAAATACATAATTCACACAAGGGCAGAAACACATAAAGAACCAAAAGAAAAAGGAGAAAAAAACCCTCACTGCTGTATCAAATATCTTCTTGAGAAGTATGGTAAGGAGTGGCAATTAAGTAAAGCTCACTCTTCCTTGCTGCGGTTATTGCAGTAAACTCAGTCATGCCCAAATCCTCAGGTTTATCGTACGCAGTCTTACCCTACATTTTTGCAAGAGGCTGTTTCCACAACTCGAACCCGTGACCTCCTGGTCACATGATATCAACTTTACCGGATACGCCAAGACTCCCCTTCTATCTAACTAACAATATATGTCAATTATGTTGGTCGCTTGTAATTCCATTAACGAAAGAAACTCTCTTTACTAGGAGAAATTCGTTTAGCATAACTATTTGACTTGGTTAAAAAAAACCATTAAAGAGGAAACTGTCCCGGTATTCTTTATTATCAAGTCTCAAACTCGAAACCTCTCCTTAAGTGTGAAATGATCTCATTCATTTTATCACAGTACTTGTTGGTAACTAGCTTGTAATTCCATAGAAGTAGTTCTGTTTAATTACTAGGATAGATTTGTTTAGCTCGAAGGTTTGGCTTGGTTATTTTGAAACAAAACGAAAGAAAAGAAAACCCGTGATTTTCTTGGTAATTAATAAGAATAATTTGAAGATTTTCCCTACAAGTAAGAAAACTTACAATCATAACTGCTTTGATGTTGTCATTGATGATTGGGATTTGAAGTTCTCCACTCTCCTTTAGTCTTAGTAGAACATCAACTAGATCTTCACCTCCTAATGCACCATTGCCTGTTTTACCACTTGCAAGATTCTTTTTATGCTCATTCATAACATCCTCAACAATAGCATCTACTCTTTTGTGAGTACTCAAAATTCTACCCCTCATTCCACTTAGCAAATGAAGGATCTTGATTGAAGGGAAAATGTCAGCTACACTAAAGCCACCTGCTAAGGCTAACACTTCGTTTACTACTTCAATGAATTTGAATTTTTCTTGGTCTTTCAACAATTCTCCAAATGCTGTTTTGCAAGTGATGGAGCTCTCATACCATGATATCCTTTTGGTAATGTTTATTGACTCGTTGGGTGTTGATGACTGGATATGTTGCACTAGACGAGAAGACTCGTCGCGCCTAATAGAACTAAAGGAGCGAACGCTCTTTGCACAGAGTAGTTCCAAGACACAAATTATCTCGAGGGACAATAGTTTAGGCCTCGATACAAAAGCGAGGTCATGAGTTTTTAGTACCTCTCGCGCCATGTCAAGAGAAGAAACCACGACTGTAGAAATTTCACCTAGTTGAAGGTGCATGAGATCAGGTCCATATTTTTTGGCCAAGTTTGCAAGTGCATGGTGGGGAAGTCCACCTTCTAATGCCAAGTGATGGACACTTCCTAAAATAGGCAATTTCCATGGACCAGGAGGCAGTTTCTTGTTTAAGGTTTTTGATTTCTTCCATTCCCCTACTAGTAGAAAGAGGAATGACCGGAAAAGGAATATGAAAATAAAGTTGAATGGAACCTGAAACTCCATTAGATATCCAAATGTTATATATACAACTCTCAAGTTTTGTTTGTAGGCTTTCTTTTGGCCTAATATATAATCCCAATATCAGAGAAAATAATCCACAGGTAAATAGTATATACTTTAGTTCCAAACAAGATTATAATACTAAGATTTGCAAAATGTCTCCAAATTTTGTAATAAAGTAAATGAAAGTTGCATTCGAGATAAAGACATTTTGCCGGACTTATATTTATTTATTATCGCACTCTCATGAAAACAATAAATCATTTGTTAATTAATTTTAATAATAATTTAAACACATGATATCAATAGAATAACGACGAAGACTTTAATATACTGTCCAAGCATGATTAATCATTAAACATTAAATTACAGCCAGCAATGATGTGCAAAATCTTAGGCGAATCTGTAGTTCCTATTTTGTAATAATATGCAGTCTCATAACACACAATAAGTGATGTGGACCTATTGTCATAATTTGACTTATAAATGAGTTTTAACCTAGGTCGATAGGTTTAAATTAATATTTACTAGCTAACCTAACGTGATGGTTACTTTGCATTATTTCTTAGGAATTTTTACATTCCTATACACTATTTTAATCTTTATTACCTTCCCTACTCAAGTTTTAATACAATTACATATTATATACCCAATTACCAATTATGTACATTTTTAGGCATTTAATGATAATAATTAGTATTCCTCCATTAACACCTATTTCCACTCTTCTTCAAAAATCAATCTATATTTTTTCACTCTTCTTCAAAAATCTCTTTCCATTTTTATAGATTCAAGCTCTAAATACTCTACCACACACCTCCATTAACGTCTGTTGCTTGCTTAACTTTCAATAAAGAAAAAAATACTTTCAAAGACCAGCCCTAATTCCAGTAAGAGAGCAGCAATTTCACCATTGACAGCCATTAAAAAGCTTTGAAGCTTTGAATTCGAATTTGAATTTTTAAAAACCATTATTTGTTTGGATTAGGTGTTGTTTCAAACGATTGGGAATATTGTTTAGAGTTTATATCTCATTTTTATAGTGCTTTGGTAAAGATTAGACTTGATTTTGGCTGAATTTCAGATTGAAATTCGAAGAAGAAGAAGAAGAAGAAGAAGAAGAAGAAGAAGAAGAAGAAGAAGAAGACATGGAATACATTATACTTACGAAATTGTAGTAAAGTTGTAGTAAAATTGTAGAAAAATTATATTTTGTTGTTTACATATATTTTTTTATTTAAATATTGTATGAAAGTTGAACAATATTATATAAAAATTATATTTAAGTTGTATGATATTGTAGTTGTATATAACTGGGTAGAAATAACATATGAAAATTGTAGATAAATTGTATAATATATAATTAGTTGTATGAAATTTATTTTTACTATGTATAAATTAGATACAAAATATACAAAAGACATATTGTATAAAAATTGTATTTTAGGTATATGATATTGTAGTTGTATTTAACTATGTAGAAATAATGTATGAAAGTTGTAGATAAGATGTAGATTATTTGTGCTTTTATATTGTGCTTTTAAGCTCTTTGCCTAAACGTGTTAAAACTATTTAAAACATTACTTAATTTCATGAAATACCTTGCAACTTAATTCAGATCGACTTCTCATAAAAGGTAAACTTATCTATCTTCAGCATTACATGCCAGAAGGATTCCATCTTATTTTGTAGGAAAAAGTATAACCATTGTTGAGTATGATTTGTAGAATAATGCCCTCCAAATATATACTATCCAACTAGGGCTGTCCTATTAATTATTACTCATACCTAAAGAAAGTGAAAATCATAGGATATAATTCTTTGGAAATGGGTGCTCTTCTGATTTTGTATTTTGAATAGCAACTTCAACAAGTTCTTAATTGGATAATAATTAAATAGACTTGATGGACAGGGAATAGAGTCTGGTTCCCTTTTAAGGATTAAATTAGAATTTTGGTTTTATCCTGAATCCTGATAAAAAGAACTTGTAAAAAGTTATCCCCAAATATTAACCTAATCTTCCTGTTAATTATAGAAGAATTCTTACTAAATTCCAACATAAAACCGAAGGGTTAAAAAGAAGAAGAAGAAGAAGAAGAAGAAGAAGAAGAAGAAGAAGAAAAATGATTAGAAGAAATAACACAAAATTGTAAGTACTATTAAGACATGGTTACGTGATCAACCAGATGAAAGAGTTGTCCACTGATTTAATCACTAAATTGCTTCAAGGGTGGAATATCCGGAGAGAAAAGGGGAAAGATGAGAGAAAAAAGGAAAAAGGTATAACTAAATCCCTTGATTGAAGGCACTAATAATGAATTGGGAGCCTTTAAGGTGGAATGTATATATTTTGTAAATAAAACTTATTTAGGTCGGGTAATTAACTAAACGTGGACATTTTTGATAATAAAGTTTCAAATAATGTATAGGAAGGTAAAAATCTCTATTTCTTAAACAATATAAATATACCGTATATACGCATGCCCTTTAAAAAATGCTATTATATGTGATATATTTGGTTGAATTTTGCTGCATTAACAATTTGAAATCACTTGATTGAAAATAGAGTTGTCAAACGGGCCGGGCTGGTCCGGTTCTGGACCGGCCTAGATCGATTTTAGCCCGGACTGGACCAACTCGGTAGTAAGGGGCCGGGCAGGGCTGGGTTGGGACGGGGACCGGGCTGTGCCGGATAGTTTTTTGGTACCGGTTAACCGGACCGGTACGACCCGTTATAATCAAGTCACATGGGAACCGATTAACCGGACCAGCCCCGACCGGTTCAATGGCTATTTTTTGATTTTGTTTTTAATTTTATAAAGTTGACGATTGTTATACAAAATACAAAAAAAAAAATAATAAGCCCGGCCCGACCCGATCCATTAGACCCGGAACTGTTCCGGTTAAATTTTGCATTGAGAAAGTCCGGAACCGGTAAACCCGGAAAAATATAATCGGAACCAACCCGGTACGAAACCGGTCGGTTTCCTTTTTCCTCAAACCCTGACCGGCCCGGCCCCTTGACACCTATAATTGAAAGTATTCCCGTGGAGTTCGAATCTTATCAAAATACCTAGAAATTTATGCAAGGTTATTCAAAGCTAATAAAACTTCATTCTCCAGATCTAAACCTATAACCTAAATTAATTTTCAAACCTCCCTTACCACTATACTAATATCTTTTCTTATGTTGAGGAAGGCAATAATTTATATATAACTAATATAAGTAGAGCGTCGTATGGATTCATCTGAAGCTAGTCCTTTAGACACGAAATATAAATTTATATTTAAATATTTACTAAAATTACAATAAATCTATTACATAAAAGAGGGAAGATGGTCGACCAGGGGAATAACTGACATTTCACATATCAATTATCATTTTGCTCAGTCATGTACTTTTAGCGTGCTCATTCTAGGTCTACCATTTCACTATTTCAACGCACCAAGTCTAGAAGCATCACTCTTTCAAAAATAATTTTGCTCTATTCATCTTGTATCTGTCTGTTATGATCTCAATTTTATGGTATGATTTTCTCTCAATTCTTGTTCAAATCTTCTTCTTTTTTTCTCTGCAATCTTCTTTTCTTTCTTTTCTTTTTTGAGACCTCTTAACAGTTACCAATTTAATGGAGGAGTTTTCTTGACTGTTGTTGTTTTCTGGAGACAGAACAAACTATCAACACCTCTGTTAATTGCTTAATGATGGAATGAGTTTTGATATAACTATTTGGACTTATAGTTAGTACTGCTGCATATATTTATGACTTACAGGTAAGTGTTCCCTATTTGGGAATTTTTCCTTTTTCTCTTCGAATTTCATAAATTATATTTGCACCGCTAATTGCAATAGAAGTTTTCGATGTTTATCTTGTGCATTTAGCTCTTTTCTTAACTAATTCTACTTAGGCATATTTTATTTTGAATATCTGGTGCCAAATTTCTTGGTTCTGTCCAGACAACCTCAAAGATGTTCTTTGAGAGATCGCAACATTTTAGAAATCTGAGTGGTCTACAATGAGGTATTGTTCGCGATATTTTCCCTTTTATTCTTCGTCCTCCATCACCGCTGGACTCAATGTAAAAAATAAAATTTATTAAAGTCAATTGTAGTATTTCTTGAGCCTTAGTCTCTTTTTTAAACTGATTTTGCACATGCCTATGCTCATTGACTATTTTGTGTTAATTTGTTAGCAATCAATGGTATTAAAGTACCATTGGAATGCTTAGAACAAGCTGTGTTTCCCAAATGCAGAGGGAGGCGCTGGTTTCAAAAGATTGGAGGATATAGCCAAGACCTTTACTGCTAAAAGGTGGTGGAGGTTGAGGACTCACTATAATCTATGGTCCAAATTCATGATCAATAGATATTGTCAGAGAAGACATCCGATAGCCAAGAAAAAATAATGTGCTGATTCTAGTTGTTGGAGGGAGCTGATGGAGATTAGAAATAGGGTGGAGCCTATGGAGACTGTCTACTGATGATTTTTTCTCTTGCTTAACCGCCTTTGATCTTCTAAGACAAAGAGGTGGACATCATCAAATGTGGAAGGACACTTGGATTAAACGCATACCTTTCAAAATCTCATTCTCAATATGGAGGATCTGGAATAAAAAAATTCCAGTTGATGAAATTATCTTCAGATTTGGGCAACGTCTGGATTCTAAGTGTTCTTGCTGTAGACAGCCACAGGAAGAGACTATTGAACATATTTTCAATACTACTCCCAAAGCTAGAGCAGTATGAACTTTCTTATCCAAGGCTTTAGGTTTTCATTCAAATCCCCAAATCCTCTATATAATAACACTCACATGGAAGAATCAGACAACCTTAAATTTTTATATCAGGACTTTGTATCACATAACACCAGTTTACATCTGCTGGGAAATCTGGAAAGCTATATGTGGAGCAAGATATGGCAGAGGATATCCAACTATGGAGAGAATATGCAGTAAAATTCTCTTCCATCTAAAGATACACTTGAAGTAAATTGGAGCACAAA